TCTTCCCTTGAGTTAAGGTGGACAAATATATGAGATTGAGTTTTATGATCGTTGCTTAAAGACTAGCCAAAAAAATTATAGAATATACCATACAAATTTAGTACCATTGGTTTAATATTATGAGAGACGGCTATGTAGCATGTCAATTTCAATGCCATTAACAATATAATATAAGAGATAGAATAAGTTTCACAAAGCTACAAATAGTTTGTCAAAATTATCACAAAGCTACATATTTAAGAAGTTGTATCACAAAATTACATATACAGCATTAACATGTCAAAGTTCCATAAAACTATATGTGTGTGTGTGTGTGTGTAAGAAATTGTATCTCAAAACTATAGATTTCAAGTGCAATATATCATTGACTATAGATTTGACACATAACTGTGCTAAGGGCCTATTCGGCAAAGCTCTAGCTCCTGAAACCCATGTTTGGATCTGCAGTTTTTGTAAACTAAATTAAAGTGGTGTATATGTTTACATTTAATTAAAGTATAAACGAAATGAGTCATGTAAATACACTCCATAGGCCTCCAGCTCCGGATCCCAAATTTTCTAGAGTTATAAATACAAAGCTCTAAGAAATTCATAGATTTCCTAGAGCCGGAGCCCTACAAAAGAGGTCCTAAATCTATAGTTTCTTGGAATTTAACCAAATTATAGAAAAAACTCACAATGAAATTATACAGGATTTGGGCCCTTATCAGGGCTTGGTAAAAAGCTCGTTGAGCTGGCTCATTTTAAAATTGCTCCAATTGAATATGTTTCCTTTTAAAACATAAATGAGTTGGTCTTGAATTGACTTTCGACTTTGGCTCAATTTCTTAGGTTCGGTTTGAAGTAACTCCCTCCGTTGTCATTCTCACTTCTCGTAAAGTCAAACACTCTTAACTTTGACCAAATATATACAAAAATTATAGTGCATAATAATTATTATTAGATTAATTAATAAACTTATTTAAAAATAAAAATATTAATATATTTTCTATAAATCTAGTTATGAGAAAATTTGAGTTGCACGAAACCACGGACTGAGTAGGCTCAAACAATTTTTGAGACTAAGATAAATAAGGGTAGTCTCAATGAGACATTGATGATAGTTTCTATGCATCTTAATTACGGTGACAGCTAAGTAAATTGCTGATGTGATGAGACATTGATGATAGTTTCTATGCATCTTAATTACGGTGACAGCTAAGTAAATTGCTGATGTGAGAATAGAGTTAATACGGAGAGATCGTAAAACAAAGAAACCGTTTCTTCTCCGAGACTCGACGTCGTCGCTCGGATAGGCACGAAGAACCCGGCAAAACAGCGTTGGGAAGACTCTACTGCTTTCTATCCTCTTCCTTCTCGATCCTGTGAGCCACCGCCGCCTAGCCAGCTCCCCCGCGCGCGCTTTTCTCCGCCCGCCCTTGCCGCGCGAGCGCGCTCGCTGCTCCGCCGCTCGCTGCACTGGCTCCCGTGCACGCTGTTCCGGTGCTCTCCGTCGCTCGCTGCTGCTGCGCTGCCGTGCGCGCTCCCTGCTGCGGTGCTGCCGCGCGCTGCTCCGGATCAGGAAAGGCCATTGCGGCGCAGGAAACCGACGAGCGCTTCCGCCTCTGCTTCAGCCTTGCACAGGTAAAAAAATATATTCTATGCTTGGATTTGGATGCAAGCATGGGAGCCCTTGGATCTCTCTGTTGGGCGGTACTCCGTAGATGCATGTGGGGAGGTCACGCCGTGGCTTGCTTCAGCAAAGTTACCGGATAACTGTTATACATTGCCGACTGTGTATAGGATGTTGTATAGTTGCTTGCCACAATTGTTCTATTTCTTTTTTTTTCTACATTTAAGCTATTGACCTGCTATAGAAACTATGGATTAGAAAAGATAGTTTCTACTGAAAATTAATTACTCTCTTTCTCTCTTAGAAACTACTCCTAAAAACTATCCATTGGAACTGTCTAAGATAATAATATAGTTTTCATAGAAAGCTTAAGAAGTGCACTTGCCTAGGACAAGACCCAAACTCCAAATTGGTGGCCACATAACTGGGTACATGGTTTCTGAAGCCTAAGTTATTCCTAAGCCATAATTTTTGTGCAAGGAATAATAAATCCAATGCTCCCGGTGCCAATCATAAACTCAAGTCTACCTAGATTAACCCAAGTTAAACTTTTGTAACTTTTATTTACGGGCAATATGTCAATATCTATCAGGGCACTCCCAAGGTAGAAAATAATATAATTTTTATCTCTATTAATTATCTTGCCACTTAAATATTTTACCGATGTGACAAGTAATTAAAAGAGGAGATAAGTAAAGAAAAAAAACGTAGAAACGGTTTCTTGACTAGACTCGACGTCAACACGGGCAAAGAGACAGTGGAAACGATGCGATACTGCGTTGGGGTGGAAACGATCCTGTGCGCCGGTGAGAGCTCGCGTCGCCGCTGAAGCACCGCTCGTGCGGCCGCCACCGTCGCGGACCTCGCGCGGCCAGTGGGAGCTCGCGCAGTCGCTGCCGCGGAGCCTAGCGCGGCCACCGGCGGGATCTGGCGCGCTGCCGCCACGGAGCTCTGCCTCGCACGCGCGGCCGCCGACATGAGCTCGTGCGCCGCCGTCGCCCATCCACCGTCGAGATCTCGCGCGGCCGCCGGCGGGAGCTCGCGTACCACCGCCCGGGAGCCGCCTCGCTTGCGCGGCCACTGACGGATTCTCGCGCGCCGCCGTCGACGTGTGAGGCCAACCGGACGGCGGGAGCAGCTGCGTGGCGCGGCTCGCGCGGAAGACGCTCCTCGGTGGCGGCGCATCCCAGCCTGTTGGGCCCATGGACGGCGGACGTGGCGCGGCACCTCTGTGTCCCGCGGTTGGTGCTCCACGGGCCATCCGTGTTCTTGCTCACGTGCACAACCTAGTCAGGCACCGCGCGTACGGCCGCTGATGGCCGGGGCTGGAGACATTCCGGCGGGAGACGCTCGAAGCCGAGGCTACCGCTGATGGCCTGCTCGGCCTTGCTGGAGGGCGTGTTCGTCTCTGTGGAGGGTGGGGAGGAAGAAGACCGAGAGCACGGTGGAGCAGAGGATCCTGTGTACTCGGGGTGAATGATTGGGTAGAATTTTAGCTAGACTCAGAGTACAAAAGTTGCGCTATGAACCGTGTTTTCTTGGCTCAGCGTAATAGGATATAGCGTTAGAAGTGCACTCCAATATGCTATCCTGATATAAACACAACAGATATATATAAAAAATATATTTTTGTATAAATAAATATACGAAAGTGCTAGCGTCAAGATGTCTGGATGGACTCCCGCGCTGCACTCCGTCTCCCGTGCACCGCACTCGCTTGCTACAGCACGTCTCCGCCAACGTGCCCCTGGACATCTCCCACGCCGCCCGAACGTCGCCCGCGCCACCAGACAGCACACGGGGGGCACTCCTGCCTCCTCCCGCTTCCCACGCACGTCCCCATATGCAACATCTAATCTACTTTTAAAACATCAAGATACAACATTTGCAACATACGTGTCAGACAGATAAAACACTTGAAACATGTTTTTGAAACACTTGAAAAGCACCTGGAAAACACTTGAAAACACATTGCAAAACATACGCAGCATCCAAATAAAACACTTGAAGCATACGTGTGAAACGTATGTAACATCTAGATAAACACACTTACAACATACGTCTGAAAAAAACAGATGAAACATAGGGAATAAAAGGTTGCAACATATGCAACATCTGCATGAAACAATTGCAACATACCTCTGAAACATTTGAAATGTACATTTGCAACATGCGCTTTCAGTGTAACATCTCTTTGCTGCTCAAGAGAACTGGAGGCTTGTCGACATTCAAAGATCATCAGTGTAGAGCTTGCTGGTGGTGCGGAGTGACCAGCCAGGGGGACACGATGCCGTCGGCGCATCACAGCCGCGCTCTGCGCCCCGCCATAGGCCCCTTGAGGCAGCTTGCTGCCATCGCCACCATTGAGGAGGAAGAAAGGGAATCGCGACAGAATCCATAGACGAGGAGGAAGCGCCACCGGAGGGGAAGAAGAGGGAGCATTGCCGTCGGGAGAAAGAAGGCCACCACGGCTGTCGTCGGAATGGGGCAGGGCGCCGCGGCGGCCGTTGGGATGGGGAACGGCATATCGGTACCGCCGTGCCGGGCTGCAGCCCCTCGGCCTCGTTCGCGTACGGTGGAGAGAACCTTATCCTTCCGTCTGCATAATGGAGGCAACAGGATAAGGTTAGAGACACTGTTGGGCCGTTGGGCTGGTGCCGCGGCCCACGAACACGATCCGATAAATATATATTATCAAAGTATTATTATAATAATATAGTAACGCCAATCTTGTTTCGTGAATGCACATATAATTTTAGCTATGGATAGTCAGCAAAGTTAGAAAAAAATGATTGGTATTTAGATTAGAGGAAGCATTAGTGACTAATACTATGATTGATTCCACTTTGATTTTTTAATAAACTATGGATAAGCCAAGCGTGAGCAAATCTGTTTTTCTTTGAGAGTTGATCAAATCTGTTTTTTTAGAATGACATCGGTTAGCTTTTCCAAAATTAAATTCGACCTCGGTTCTATATAATAATTTTCTTCCCTCCTCCTTCCAACACCACGTGCATCCGCAAGCAAAGCTTCGAGCCTCGCCTCCCGCGCAAGCCGAGAAAATTGCAATTATAGGACACCAAACAATGCGCTTCGCAATTATAGGACTCCAATCGCCGACTTCGTTAAAATGACCCTTTGAAACGTTGGCTTCTTATTTTAGATGACATTAGGCGTATTTTCTTCACTTTGTTAATCAAAATACATGTATTTTGGCCCTCTTGTGACCCTTCTGCCCTTCTGCTTTTGTATCGTTGATCGATCGTACCAATTCATCTACCCGACGTTCCTCCTTTCCTTCGAGACCAACGCCGCCCTAAGCACCGACGCCGTCGTTCCTCCTTCCCCTCCTCCCAACGACGCCGTACCCTTCCCTTCCTCAACTCCCATGGATGGATCGCCGCCCAAAGATGATGATGGCCGCCCGATCAACATGGAGGGCCAAGCAGCCACAGCCCTGGCGAAGATGGTGACCCCGGCGCCGGTGGCGATGACGGACCTGCTGGGCGCGCTGGACAAGGACGCCGTCACGATCGGCCGCGTGCTGGAGGCCGTGGTCACGATGGCAGGGGACAGGCTGGACGACCAGAGCGACGCGGCGGCCATCCAGGTCGCGGAGACGTGCGCCACGGGGGCCCACGCCACCATCCTCGGAGGGGTGGCCGCCGCGGCGCAGTCAGCGGCTGATCAGAACACCCATGCCTTGCGCGACGAGGACAAGGTCAAGCTCTGGAACATCCTCTCGGTGCGTGCGATCGCTACTCTGCTTTTGTCATTTTCTCGATTCGCAGCTGTAGCCTATAGGCGAAGTGTTTTGGATTGTCAATGGTGACCGTGAGTTGCGTGGCCGTATGTACATGCAGAACGCGAGGGAGAGGCTGCCGGTGGACAAGGGGGCAGCGCGGGAGGACGCCGAGAGGGTGGTGTCTGCGGAGATACCGAACAAGCTGGACATGACGACCACGTCGGGCGGCGTGGCGGACGCGGTGACTACAGTGGAGGCCTCTCCCAACGCCACGTCCAGTGCTCTAGCCCTAGCCAGAACGTTGCTGCCCACTGTTCCTCTTCCGACAGTAGAGTACAACCTTCCTATTCTTGAAGTGCAAAGGTATTGGCCTTTATGCTTTCTATTTTTTTACCACGATAGTAGTAGACAGTATTTAAACTTGATATCACTTGTTTAGGTCCCAAGTAGATCATGTGAAAATTATGAAAATATTTGATTGGGATAGCATACATATAGTGGAGACACATGATGACGAAGGTCGTATTGCACTTATGAGTGAGAATCAGATTTGTGAGCTTTTAGGCTTGACAGAGGAGGACACAACAAATATACCTGCACAGGGCTTTGATTGCCGAATAGATGAACAGGGGCATGATAATGAGCTTGGGCAAGATAATTATGGTGCTGCCATTCCTACTAGTGATGCCATACCAGGTAAAATGGTCATTTTATATGATAAGAACAACCTATCCATGGATTTAGGAACAGTGTACCCAACAATGAAGCAGTTCAAGATGGCAGTGCGGCAATCTGCCATCAATAAGGAGTTTGATTTAGGAACAGAGAAGTCATGTAAGACGAGATATAGGGCTTATTGCAAGTCTGGTGATGAAGATTGCCCTTGCCCTTGGAGGATAAATGGCACCAAACATAAAGGCCAAAGCACCGTGGAGGTGAATAAATTTCTTTTTCCTTTCATTAATTCTACTTTTCTTGTAATTTAATATGAATCTCATTAATTTTTTGTTTTACAGGTAACCGTCTTAGTCGATAAACATACATGTGTGTCTAGCATGAGGCATATAACTACAACTCCAAATCTGAAGTGGGTAGCTAGCAAGGCTGTGAGTATCCTTAGAGATGATCCAAATATTGGTGCTAAGGAATTACAAAAGAAGTTGTAGACAGATCACAGGTGTCAAATTGCATATGGCACTGTATGGCAGGGTAAAGAAAGAGCTCTTGATGAGGTTTATGACAAATGAGAAGAGAGTTTTGAGCTGTTGTTTAGGTGGAAGGCCGAGGTAATGAAGCGGTGCCCCGGGAGTGTTGTTGAAATTGAGGTACTTGAGGTGGATGGTCAAGTATATTTCCACCGTTTTTTCTGTGCTCTTAAACCATGCATTGATGGTTTCTTGGAAGGTTATAGGCCTCATTTGAGCATAGATGCTACAACACTTAATGGAAGGTGGAATGGTCATTTGGCCGCAGCTATAGCAGTTGATGGTCATAATTGGATGTATCCATTCGCTTATGGCTTCATAGCTTCTGAAACAACAGACAACTGGACTTGGTTCATGGAGCAATTAAAGAAGGCAATAGGTGATCCTCCACTCCTTGCTGTTTTTCTGATGCTTGCAAAGGCTTGGAGAATGCAGTGAAGAATGTATTCCCAAATGCAGAGCAAAGAGAATGCTTTTATCATATTGTCAAAAAATTTTAGAAGAGATTTAGAGCGTTTGGACAGATATATCCTGCGGCAAGGGCTTACAGAGAAGACATATTCTATGACAATATAGCAAAAATGGTAAGTGAATTAGCAGAAGCAGTGAAATGGTTACAGACCAATCATAAGCTATTATGGTATAGGTGTGCTTTCAATCCAGAAATTAAGTGTGACTACATAACTAGTAATATTGCTGAGTCATTTAATAACTGGATTAGAGACCATAAAGACTTACATGTACTAACCTTGCTGATAAGATTGGAGAAATGATCATGGTACTTTGGAACAAGAGAAGAAATATTGTATACAGGCTACCTGAAGACAAGATACTTTCAGCTATTATGCATCAGCTAAAGGCAAATACTAGAGGTTTGAGACACTTAAAAATTGTACCATGTTCTAATTGGAGTGCAGAGGTGTGGGACCATAGCAGCAGAGTTGAGAGGCATATTGTCAAGTTACACCAAAGGATCTGTACTTGTCTTGAATGGCAGCACACTGGTAAGCCATGTCAACATGTATCGACCTATGTAACCCACTAACGGGGAGTTGACCTTGAACAATTTGTGCATGACTATTACTCGGTGAATAGATTCAGGGCTGCTTATGGTAGAGAGATTGAGTCGATAACAGACAAAACACAATGGCCACAAGTTGACCTACCATTTTTAGTTGATGCACCTCTTGCTAAATTACCTGATGAAAGACGAAGGAAACTAAGAAGGAAATGATGGATGGAAGGTGGCCACAAGAAGAAATGTTCCAAAGACGGTGAATATACCGCACATTAAATCTTTCCATACATCTAATTGTCGTATCGTATTTTATGTGCAGCAAGCTTGCGATGTTATTAGGAGAGGGCACATCTTCACAAACCGACACCACTAGTCCCGTGAGGATGCCTACCGCGGCAGCAAAAAAAGATGACTCCAAAGAGAAAGCTACACATTGGATGAATTATTTTACTTGTGATGAGATGTAAATTCATGCTTTATTTCATATGACATGGATCTCGTTTGGAACTAAATTATGGTCTTATGAGATGAACTTGTTTAGGCTACGATCATAGTTTTATGAGATGAGCTCGTTTGTGCTAAATTCATGGTTTTATCTATTACTTGTAATTATGTATGGATCATCTTTGATAATTTATATTACATATTAAACTGTACATGGCGGCCAGCCAGCCCAGGCCACGCCCAGCCATGGCCAGGCGCCGGCCAGCCAGCCAGCCAAGGGCGCGGCCAGCCAACCCATTCCACGGCTAGCCAGGCAGGCCAGTCGAGCGACCAGCAGCCTCATCCCATGTCAATTGAAGTCCTGAGGGCAATACGGTCACGTCATGACAAACTACGTGTATTTTAGTTGAGAAAAATAATTAAAAAAATCAAATATCATGTATAACACAATGTCAATGTTTTAAAGATAATTTTAGCGAAATCGATATTCGGAGTCGGAAGCGCATTCTTTCGCGTCCGGTAATTACAATTTTCTCCGCACGAGCCCTTGCTCCGGCGGGTCCCGCCCGCCCCGGCTCGCCCCGCCTAAAACCCTCCCCTGTTCTCATGTTCCTCAGAGCCAGCAGCACCACCACGGCCGCCTCCTCGCTCCTCCGATGCCGTCCGCTCCCCTCACCTAAAACCCTAGCACTCGCCCCGCCTCCTACTATCCTCCCCATCTGCTTCCGCCCCCGCCTCTCCGCCTCCTCGTCCTCCGCATCCCCGCCGCCGTGCGACCGCGGCAGGCGAATCCGGGGAGAAGAAGCCGCCGACCGCGAGGGCCAAGCGGGCCGACGCAGTGCCTGCAGCGGCGGCGGCCGGAATGTCGGCCTCCGGTGGAGGATCCTCGGGGAAGCGCACGGTGGCGGACGTGCTGATGGGGAACGCACGGGCTGCCGCCAGCAAGGCGAAGAAGGCAGCGCCGTCCCCGAAGAAGCCCCCGGCGAAGACTGGCGGCGCGGAGGCCGAACCGGAGGCTGCAGTGGTGGCGGAGAAACCGCCTTCGCCGGTGAGGTCCAAGCGGGCGTCGTCCCCAGCGAAGTCCCCCAAATTGCTGGCTGATGGGCCTACATCGCCGGCTAAGTCCAAGGGTCCAGCCGCGGCCGCTCAATTGGATGCGGCGAAGGAGAATTCCCCGTCGCCAAAGAGGTCCAAAACCCTAGCCGCTAAATCCGACACCCAGCCTTCTGGTGAAGGTGTTGTCTCGCACACCGATGAGAAGAAGCGGGCCGCTTCACCCAAGAAGGCCAAGACCACAGATTCCCCAAAGACAGAGGAGAAGAATACCACCCTAGAGCTAAAGAAGAAAGGCAGTGAGTTTGACCCGATGGCTGCTGCCTATTGGAAGCCTGGTGAGCCCGTGCCATTCCTGTTTCTGGCTCGGGCACTTGATCTCATCTCCAACGAGAGTGGCCGCATCGTTATTACAGAAATCCTATCAAATGTGTTTCGCACAGTGATGGCAACAACACCGGATGATCTCCTTGCAACTGTGTACCTCTCAGCCAACCGGATTGCGCCACCTCATGAGGGGATTGAGCTTGGGATTGGGGATGCATCAGTCATCCGTGCACTTGCAGAGGCATATGGACGCAAAGAGGAGCATGTTAAGAAGGACCTTAAGGTTGTTAAGTTGGTTACATATTTGTTCATCAGTTCAACTGCTATGGAATTGGAGGCATAAATTGATTTGCTGTTTCTTTTGGCGATTGTAGGAATTGGGTGATTTGGGGCTTGTGGCAAAAGCAAGCAGGTCATCACAGAAGATGATGTTTAAGCCAAAACCACTGACAATAGCTCGGGTGCTTAGCACTTTTCGGGCAATTGCAAAGGTTCTATATCGTTTCTTGCATTTCTGATGCTGAATATTTCCCCAGCAACCTTTATTCTGACTTGATATCTCAACATGGAATTGAATTGCTTTCATTGGGATTTGAGACATTGAGTGATATTGAAATATGCACTATTAGAAGTAAAATCACAATATGTAGTGAGGCTGGGATTTGAGTCCCAGAGTGGATAACTTCCATAATGCACTATTACACAGTTTCACTTAAGATACCGTTTATCCAGGAATCGGGCAAAGACAGTCAAGATAAAAAAAGAAACCATATGAAGGGACTTCTTGTTGCTGCAACTGACTGTGAACCCCAGTACATCACGCGCCTTCTTCAGGTAAATCATGGAATGTTCACTTACTGCACTTCCTTCGTGTCCTGTCTATTCATTGCTTGCCTGAATTGTTACTTGTCACAGTCAAAGATGAGGATTGGGCTGGCAGAGAAAACTGTCCAAATGGCTCTTGGGCAAGCTGCCGTATATTCTGACAAAAATTCTTCGCCACCAAAAGTTCAATCACCTTTCGAAGAGGTTACTCTCTGTTTTGTGCTTTTGTTTACACTCCTATATTTGTTTTTACAGGATCAGATTGAAATTCTTTTATTGCCTGCATATTAGATTTTTGTTAGTATCTTTAATCAGCTCCCCAGCCATGGTAGCATGCAACTATGCAATACATGACTCACATGGTTCTATTCTATATGTGTTTCTTCAATATCCTTAATTCTAATTTATTGATGACTTTTTGTGCTGTTAGAAATCGTGCTTTGCAAACTTGAGAATAAACAATGTAATAATAATAATGTACTGTTGCCACAATGTTCCATGGAAATGGTCATGAAGAAAGTTATTGTGACCCACGGGTTTTATCCTCCTATATACCTATATCTCATTCTTATCTGAGTTCCTCTTGCATATATGTGGAAGATTGATTTGATATGCATGGTCAACACCTTTTGTTCCTAACATTGCCGCTGCAATTGGTCAGTTACTGATTTTATTGTATTTACTCATGAAGGCTGCAAAAATAATTAAACAAGCATATTCAGTTCTTCCAATATACGATAAAATTGTCCCATCGATACTTGAAGTAGGAGTTTGGAAGCTTCCAGAGACATGCAAATTTTCCATAGGTGTCCCTGTTGGCCCTATGTTAGCAAAAGCAACAAAATCTGTCTCAGAGATCATTGACAAGTTTCAGGGTCTTGAATACACTTGTGAGTACAAGTATGATGGTGAAAGGGCTCAGGTATCATCAATCCTCATGGCGTTTAATGCTTCTAATATGATACTTTGACCCATGTTCATCTAAGCTAACACTTCATAATTTGGAATTTAGATACATTGCATGGAGGATGGTTCAGTAGAGATTTATAGTCGGAATGCTGAAAGAAACACTGGAAAGTATCCAGATGTTGTTGATGCAGTTTCTAGGTATACTTCATTTTATAATTTCACCTACCAATACATTTCTGAATCTCCAACTGAAGAAGCACTGGAAGCTGTTAATACTCCCTCCGTTCCAAATTATAAGTCGCTTTGACTTTTTTGGTTCATCCACTTTGCTATGTATTGTAACGCCCAGAGTCCAAACGGCTCAGATCCACTCTGCACGCTGAGCGAACCACACCTACCACCATCCCACTTACGCTTTCGTCCTCGCTTCGCGTAAAAGGATTAATCCGGGGATGGTGGGATGGACTTTAGAAGCCTTATATGTTGGTCTATCCCACCTTTAACAACCAAGGTGGGACTAAACTCTCCACAATATCCCATTAACATGCACATGGGCCACTATGGGCCAAATTCCAAGCTGGGCCGGATGTGACATGTATCTAGACAAATTATTATATCTAGATTCATAGAAAAATGGATGTACCAAAAAAGTCAAAGCGACTTATAATTTGGAACGGAGGGAGTACTAGTTATAGCCTTGAGTATACTGTGCTTAAGATTTGTGCCATGCAGATCCAATTATCATGGTCTAAATTTTCTGTCAGTTTGCATATGATTTAATGGTTTTTAAACTGTTCTGTCAGTTTGCATATGGTGTAATGGTTTTCTAAGTTCCCACATGGTACAATTTTAACTTTTTGAGGTCTGATTTTGATTCCTTTTCTCACCTTTCAAATGTAAGACACCTCAGATTTGCTTTCTCCACCTTTGTTCTTGTCTGCTTTTGAGGTAGAATTCTATAGCCTCTGACACTTTCCCCCTGGCACTGCCAGTCATGAATTCCTTATATCTTAGTGATAAGTGATATGAGTTGTTTTTGGATGTATTTATTAAAGCTGAAGCCATCTCGTTCTGTTCTTGTCATGTGTGCCCACATATACCAGCTTTGTCAAGCTAATTTGGTTACTGGCTCAATAATTATCTACCCAAATTTGTGTTCTCTCCTGCACTTTTAGTTCCTGATGATCTTACGTTTAGCATGCCAATGCAGATTTCGGAAGCCTACAGTCAAATCATTTGTCTTGGACTGTGAAATTGTTGCCTATGATCGTGAAAAACAGAAAATTTTGCCTTTTCAGGTTTGTATTTTAATTATATCTTAATTTCCAGTTAGGTTACTTTGAAAGTGGCCATCCTATAAATATCTGAGCATGCAAAAGATGCTGTACACTAGAGCTATTTGATGTTCTAAACTATTCATTTTAATTTTGCGACCTTGTCCTGTTTACATTTGTGTATTTTCCGTTGCTAGTTGTGACTTGTAAGGAACTAAGGACAAGGGATCGTTCTCCATCTCTGCAGATACTTAGCACAAGGGCTCGCAAGGGTGTTACCATAAATGACATCAAAGTTTCAGTCTGTACTTTTGGCTTTGATATTCTTTACATAAACGGGAAACCTCTTCTCCAGGAACAACTCAAAATTCGTCGAGAGGTACTGTACTTCTGCACTGTAGATTCTTAATGTACAATATCATTTCATTCTGCTACTGAAAACATTATCTGTGCTATGACATGGTCAATTTTTCAACAGATTATGATTCAGTTATAATTTTGTAGCCAGCTTAGCACAGCTATTAGCTATTATTACTATTCTTTCCTGAATGTGTGTGGAACACATGTAGCTTCAAAAAACTACTAAGGAGTACTCTAGTCTGAGGCTGTCAAACACAATCGTGGTGTTCAATCGTACAAAATACATAAATGCATTATTCTTTCTCTAGAGGTGTAATTATTCCTTTGCATTGAATACATGTTAGCATCTTTACAACTCCTTCGAAGAAGTGCCAGGTGTTTTTCAATTGGCTACTGCAATTACATCAAATGACCTGGAGGAGATACAGAAATTTCTTGACACAGCTGTCAACTCCAGGTAACTGAAATTTCTAAGCATACATTGGCCAGCTTTTTTTAATGTCTTCTACTAGTTCAATAGTTTCAAGGTTTCATTTGTGCTCAATAAAAATTGGTTTAGGCACAAGATAAATAAAACACTGGATTGCAGCATTTGATTTGAAGTATTGGAGTTATGATATAGTTCAGTTTTGGATGAAAGTAGATGCATTACAATAGATTTTAAAGAATAATAGTTCTAAAGAAGAAAAAATCCATGCCTTTAAAGTCAGTCCCTTGGAAATGAAGTAATCCTAAAGGTCATGCTTCAAACATTATATGTTGTGATTGATGAAACATGACATTGTAGATGATTGCACATTTGCTTCCTGAACGATTTAGAGGCAACAGTTTGAAGTCTTCTCCAATTTTTATCATGTCTAACATAGACCCTCTGGCTGATTCTAGGCATATCCAACAACAAAGATTTTCTTACCATCCAACTTGTTTACAGCAAATGCTATAGGACTTTTCCTTGACTATCGCATAGACCATTCTAATTCTATTATTCTGAGTGGAAAACTTATAGATCTGTATTCAACTTGAGATTGTGAAAAAGGATATGCTAATTAAACTATGTTAGCTGTAGCATGTGTACATCATCACTCCTTGAAGCAATTTTTCTGTTCAGAGGAGTTTCACATGAAACTGCCAGTATAGCAATGTTAGGAAACATATGTATTATTTATTTATTTTAAACTTTCATGTTGTCATTTTATTATCAAAATTAATTGATATATGAATTCTGAGTGAAGGATTGTGGAGTGGTGATTTTTTTCTCCTATCTTTTACCAAGATCTTTTTCTGTCCACTAAGTTTTCATCTGCTGAAGTTGTGAAGGGTTGATTATCAAGACATTGGATAAAGACGCTACGTATGAGCCAGCGAAGCGATCAAACAATTGGTTGAAACTGAAGAAGGATTACATGGATAGGTAGTACATTGCAAGCCATACTGATTTAACTCTCTTGCAGAACATGCAAATCTAGAAAATCGTAGTGGCTGGATATGCATATTCTATTTATCTCTTATGCTATGGTCAAAGATTCAAAATCTCCAAACATCATTTATATTGAGCTGTTTTGACTCTGTTACATCCGGGTCCATGTGTACATTTTAGTAGAAATTTATAAATAAAGCATCATTACTTGTGTTTTTAAAGTTACGTATCCTTGTTTCTTTTTGGCAGCATTGGAGACTCTTTGGACTTGGTACCTATTGCTGCCTTCTATGGTAGAGGAAAACGAACAGGTGGATGGTTCTTTTCCATCATGCTTATACTGATAAAAATGAACTAAATTTAAGTGTTTCTTTCCCTCCTTGATATAACTGCCTGTTTATCAAGTAATTTTACAGAGCTCAATTGCTTTAGTTTCTTTCTTTCATGCTAATGCATGTTTCTTCTGCCCTTGTTTTGCTTACTAGGTGTCTTTGGATCATTCCTCCTGGCATGCTATGATGAGCAGAATGAAGAATATCAAACAATATGCAACATAGGTAGTTGCTTCTTGTTTTGAAAAAACCCAAGCTTCTTAGATGAGTCCTTCTTCATGCTTTAATCTTGATGCATTTAGGTACTGGCTTTTCTGAGCAACAGCTTGAAGAACGCTCTGCGAGCCTTCGAAGTAAAGTGATAGAAAAACCAAAGGTGATACTTCCTTAAGCCTGTTGTTCAATGACTGGTTCTTATTGACAATTTGTTATTATTTTTGACGTCCTTCACATTAATGCTCTTGTTTGTACAGGCGTACTATAGATTTGCTGACACAATGGACCCTGATGTGTGGTTTGAGCCATCAGAGGTAATGTGCATACTAAACCTCGATAACATACTATCGTTTCACAGTAATATACTTTGGTGTCTTTGAAAACTTTGTGTATGCTTGCAGATCTAAATCCATATGATTCTGCTTATTTAAAACCAGTCATTAAATTGTTTGGTTGCTGTTACATGTACTTGATGCATTTCATGTTCGCCCTGAAGATTGCTTGTTGTAACACAGTAGATGGGGAAGGGCGCAGGGGTTAAGCCTGTTGTAGTTTAATTAACTTAATTTTCTCTTCTCAGGTGTGGGAGGTCAAAGCTGCAGATCTGAGCATAAGCCCTGTACATCGTGCTGCTAATGGTATAGTCGATCCCAATAAGGTTGGTAGTTTTATTTCCCATCACCATTCCTCCCCATCTCGATTGTATACTTTTGATATATGTTGGAAGGCTAATGCTGAAATTGAACCAGGGTATCTCCCTAAGGTTCCCTCGTCTGTTGAGATTACGTGATGATAAAAGCCCAGAACAAGCCACCACGTCTGACCAAGTTCGTTCACTGCCTCTTTGCTATTCTCAATGGTTTGATGTTTTGCATGTCTCAATTGGGATTGTGTCCAAATTTTGCAGGTCGCTGACATGTACCGGTCTCAAAAGATCAACCACGGTTATAACCAGGAGGATGAGGACGATGACTGATGCTGACTCAATTCTTGGGGCTGTATGGGATGGTCCATTGAGGTAAACACTAGTCTTTACAGTTTCCAGCTTATTCTCAATCGTAACCTGTTGATTTACTGGTTCCTATATTTTTATGATCATTGAACAGGTATTGACCAGAGCATGCGTTTCCAGTTTATTTCGTCCTGATTCGAATGGCTTAGGGTATATTCAGATTTGTGCATTCCTCATGATACTGCATCCTGCTTTAGTTTCTTTCTTTTTATTGCTTTCCATCTGTGGATTGTGTGAGCTGACCAAGGCTCAATCAAACTGTACCTTCGGAAGTTGAGCTGTATTGACACTAACCCATTAAGTACATTATTAGCACTAATATGCATTACTTATTTTTTCTCTCATTTTGCAAAAACGCAAAAGCGTACAACTTATCCCTACGAACCCGTATGCCATCTTTATGAACGCGTATGGCAAACTAGATCAGCACATGAGGTGTTTGGTCGATGGGCATATCATTTATCACTGGCATTTCAACTTGGACGGGCAGACTTTAGAAGTTACAACAGAACCAAACCTGTGTGGAGTTTGTGTTTCGCTGCAACATAAATTTTCTTAAAAGGGGAGTTTTAACAAAAGTAGAACCACAACTGGGATGTGCATGGAAATGCAGAACCGGTGGCGCCGGTACCAAGATTTTGGTGGTGATCCCCGCCCTTCGGTTCACCTAAAAAGTCATAGTATCGTTTTTTAGTTTTTATTTTATTATAAGAAGAAAAATACACCGTTTCGTTATGAAGCGATTTTCGTCTAAAAAGACTCGCCTAGTGATTCATCTCTTCCTCATCCCCAATGCAACCAAAACAAGCGTCCTGTTCCTCTCTTCCTCGTCGGCAATGCAACAACCTAATAGGCGTCCTGTTCATTGAGATTCCAAAGAATGCTGACCAGAGAGAAATTACGCACCAATCATTAGACACGAGCACGCCAAAAGGTTCGGCTTGAAATGCCCAGAGAGAGGAGATGATGGATATACGACTCTAGGCCTTGGATTGGAAATTTGGAACACTGCGTGCTTCCAATTTCCAAAGTTGCCAGTAGCACAGGAGTTAGAGTCAATCTTCATGAATTGGCGTTGCGTTTTGGGGTTGCTCGGATACGTCTGGCTTTTTGATTGACGTTGAACGTGCGTTGAGCCTGCGCTAGCGCAAGCCTGCAGGTAGGGTCTGGGACGTCTGGCTATTTGACTTTGGGCGTGCGCCAGCGTAAACCTGCAGGCAGGGACGTTGGGTCTGGGGTTTCATTGGCGTCGTGGCACAGGTCACAGGCAACATTTTTCTCGAAAGGAAGATCAGTAGACAACATCCTCAGCAATGTCTTGAGATCTGTTCTTGCACAGGATGCACACATCGGGTGCTATGCTAATTGCTAATGCTAGGAGTGGACGCACGATGATTTTTATCATGTCAAAGCGGAGGAAGCAAACGCTCCTTCCAAACCAAAGGATATCTGCACACAATTGAAATCAGCAACAAGTTCACAGGACTGGAGGCTTCATCAGTAAATTCAATTGTTCAATTGTTCAGTAAATTCAGTAATAACTGCAGTTCTTCAGTAAATTCAATTGTTCAGTGACTGCACTTCTTCAGACTCAGACGTTCCAAAAGGATTGAGGAAAACTACTCGACGAGGCTTGTGAATTGAATTCGTTGAGGAATTCGACTCGCCTGGTACGCAAAATGGGTGCTTTGGTTGCGTCCTCTGTTGGAGCGTGTTTTTGGGACGCAAAACACTGTGCACGACGTATTTTTTGTTTGGCTCGCCCTTTGCCTACGCTGTTGGAGACAATCTAAGTCCATACGAAATTTTGGTGTAAAATTCGTAGGGCTGATTGTAGCCGGTTGCTCTTGCTGGTTTTCTCGTGATTTTCAGTCAAGTACAAAATTACTTGGTGTGTAACTACGAAATGCTGTGTGCGTTGCTTCCATTTTCTATGCAGAGAGAGAAATGAGAGGGGTGTTTTGAGTTCATTGCAGTGGTAATTCAAAATGGCATGCGCGTCACAGCTCAAGAAATTGGAAACCGTTGTCGAGCTCGTAGCGCCCCACTTTGGTGCTTGCTTGCACATTGCTTTTTGGGGATCGCAAGTGTTAGCGGAAATTACTAGAGCAGGCTCTAAATTTCGGAACACAACAGTACTAGGGCAATGTTGCACACGGCATGACATTGGTCAAAGCGGCCGCGGCGACTATGCAGCTTTGCAACGGGTGGGCGTGGGCCGCGGCCCGCTGAGTGCTTGACCCTCACACCACCAGACAAACAGTTCAATCCAACAGAGCAACGTAACAGGAATGGGTAGCAAATGGCCACAAATTCTGTGGCAGATAACTCAGATCAATATACCTTGCTAAGCACACACGACACATGAAAGATGAAACCACAAACCAACCAATCAAATAAACAGAGACGACAGACACCCCAGTTCAGAAGGACCAAGTCATGACAGCAATGACAGTTCAGTTCCTTCAGCTGAAACTCGTCAGCGGGGATCCACACAGCTGCACGTCCAAGATGTCGGAGAGCCTCTGCCTTGAGCTGGATGACACACCACACTCGTCCAGGTCCGAGATGCTCTTTCTCTTGTGCGCCATCTCTTGCTTCGGCCTCTCCTCGGACGCCTCCATGATGGGGCTCAGGGCCGGAGGCTGCTGCTGAGCGTCCTCCTCTGATGTGTAGAGTATGCTCTGGATAGCTTGGACCTGAGACCAGAAGACACAACCACCATCATTCACCACGATACAGCTCTGAAGAATGGATGCGACAGGAAAACAGTGCTCGTTCAGAAGGATTTCAAACGACAAGTACTCACCGACACGTGCTCAACCTCAGGATTCTGGCACAGGATCTCAATGTCCCGCAGCTTGGAGAAGTAGAAATCTCTCTCCTTCTCCAGGCTGTCAACAAGGAGCTTCAGCTCAGTTATCTGCAAACCATGGCCATTCACACAAGTCGTCATAATTTTGGAAATTGAGAAGAAATTAGGAGAAACATTCACACAGACTGACTAATAAGGCTCACTTGTTCATCATAAGCTGGTCCACCAGAGTTGGCAGGTGCAGGTGATGGCTTAGCACTGCGTTGTGGTGCACTAGCCGTCTGCCCACTTGCCCGCTTAGCACCATGTGAGGCTTGAGCCTTATGACCTGTGGAAGCAGACTTGGCCGGCGTGTGAGAGGGCACCGATGCCCTTCTGTTGGTATCCTTTCCCCCTTTGCTGCTTTCCCTTCTCTCAGAAGCATTGTAGCTGTGTATGTCAAAAAAGAACAGGACAATGAGTAAGCACTGAGAGAATTTCTTCTCTTACAATTGGTGGCAATAAAGTTAATATAATACTGAGAAACACTCAAAGCCTTATATGAGCTACAGTCTAAAATTCTAATGACCAGGTCAGTGATTACTTGCTCATGAAGCCACCACTGACAGAATCACAATATCGTTTCATCCACTGCATGAACTCCAGATTGTCAAGTGGCCTTCCTTTGATAAGCTTGTTCACCTCTATGTGCTGCAACCATTAACAAAAGGAAACAACAAAAATAAGATCATAGTAGCAACAAAAGGCTATTTAGAACAGGAATTAGTAAGTAGTAACCTAAACAAGAAAAACTACTTTGTTACAAAGTATAACAGAGACCAACAAAGCAACGCAGACTGCAGAGTGTTTCATTGTTCTTGTCAGATTCTAAAGCTACCAAACAACACAGCGTGCAAAAATTAGAGCACAAATAGTACGGCATCGTCAAACTGCTTCAAACTAGCAATGGAAACAAGAAAAATTAGGATCCTAACTGGAATTAAACTCTCATCAGTCATCAGCACTGAACAATCACATAACTGCATAACATGTGCATATGTCACATCACATAGCTGCTTAAAACTACTGCATAACATGTGCACATGTCACATCACATAACTGGAATAAACTCTTATCAGCACTGAACAACCAGAGCATGAAACACGAGGGAAGCAACCTTGTTCAATCGATTTCAGAAAAAAAAAAATCCCCACGCGGAGAGAAACCCAGACGCTGCTCACCTTCGTGATCTTGAGTTTGTTGAACACATCCTGCAGGACCTTGTAGTTCTGGATCATATCGTACTCATTCTTGGCGTCGAAATTGACCTTGTGCATCGGCACGGCGCCAGGATGAGCCGCGTCCATCAGTTGGCACGCAACCGCGCCCGACGCCGCCTGCAGAACACGAAATCGACCACTGGTTTCAGCCTTTCATGGACTCACAACTCGCACAGGACCCAACAGATTAGCCCGCACGAACAGGGCACCCTCCCGACGGGTTAGTTAAGCCTCGGCTCCACCACTACGCGAACAGCACACACAGATCGGGAAGAGGGACACGGGGGAGCGCTGCTTACCTCCTCCACCTTGGAGAGGCCGAGCTGCAGCGTGGTGTTGATCCACGCGAGGATCTCGTTGCGCCCGACGAAGTAGGCGCCGTCCATCATCCCGATGTTGGTCGCCGCCATCGCCGGCCGCCGCTCGCGAAGGCCCGGGGGGTGGGGGTGGAGGCGTGGAGCGGGGTCGGTTTGGGGGGAAAGGAAAACGCGAGGAGGATTTGAGATTTCAAACTGGGCGGCGCCCGCGGCCCTTGCCGTGATTAAATGGGGGAGACGAGGGTTCGCGTCGGACGATTCTACCCTCGGTGCGGGCCAGGCGAGGGCGATCTGAACGGTGGGATGCGCGCGCGGGGGGCTGGTGGACGGCAGGATCTGGTCGACCGTTGGGACGGGCGCGTCGGGGAGATCTCCGTCATTCGCCTAGGCAGTGTAGCTGGTGCCAGTGTAAAACCGTGTGCATTTTTGGGATCTTTTTTTTTTTCCGTTGCTCATGCGGTTTCTAGTGAGTTCGATGTAGGCTGGATCGAATTACTGGTGATAGGTTTTTTTGTTTTACCTTTCGCGTTCCGATTCCATTTTTCAGCAACGAGAATAGAGAGTCCCAATTCTAATTGGACGGACGTTCCCTCCAATCGAATATTCTTCCACCACACATGGTTTATATTTCTTAATGATTTGCTCGGAGCTAGTAACCTATCATGTTCCTTTTTTATAACATATGAGATGATAAATATCCACTTCATTCTAAATTATAAGATATTTTAGCTTTTTTTTAAGATTCATAACTTTTACTAGCACTTAGATATACACTATGTCTATATGCATAATAAAAACAACATATTAAAAAACAAAATGTGTTATAATTTAGAATGAAGGAAGTATTTACACCCAATTCTTATAAATATAGATTTAGAGCATCTAGACATAGTGAATAGCTGGGTATAAATCACTGTCTATATTTATACCCAATTCTAGTTTAGCGATTTTCCGATTGTGGCAAGTATGAACGTGTCTTTTTATCCACCGTTCCTTGTGCACCTTCATATTTTCTTTCTTTTCTCTCCATTTCTTTCACCATATGCTCGGAGCAATTTATCTATGTGTCGGGTATCAGTATCAGGGATACCCGGAAGAAGAAAGCTAATGGCCGCGAACGTTAACACCCTCGGATGGTCAAGAGCGTATCTTGGTCTCGCCCGGCCCCGAGGGCACGTCTCGCCCAATCTCAAGGATACGGGATCCGGGTCACCCGACCCCAAGGGCGCGGGCTCCGTCTCGTCCGACCCCTCGGGCGAGAGCCCTGTCACGCTCGACCCCTCGGGCGCGGACTCCGCCTCGCCCGACCCCGAGAGCGCGGGCTCCCCCTCGACCGACGGAGGTCCGTACCGCCCCCAACCATTACGGGTCTAAAAGTACGAATCTAGGGTCAAACTTCTGACGCCAGAAGGGGAGCAGGCGTGTCTTGACGTGACCCGCGGCCACAACGGGCCACGTCTGAGGACGCACGTCGCCAACAGCATCGAGCGTGCCGGCGCTGTGCTACCTACTCCCCGTACGGCCTCCAGTGGAGGCATCAGCCAGCCATACCGTCTGCTGGGACAGGATGGAGCGCCACGACCGGCTGACGACGCCCGTGTATGGCGCCAGTGACGAACAGGGCCACGACGAGGAGCCGTCCCCATCGTCATCTACAGGGCCGACAGGACCCACATAAAGGAGATGGAAGATGTTGCAATACCAGCAGCCTTCCTCTTCTTGTCTCTCTCTCTCTGATGTAATCTGCATCTCCCCCTTCATCTATTAAAGGGGGAAGAAGGCCCCCCCACGGGGAGGGCAGTCTAAGACACATCTAACATGTCTAAGCGGCGGAAGGCTTAGGCGCTCGGCAGTAGATAGAGAGCTCAACCAGACTCACTCTTTTCACCAGAGACTTGGGACTTTCTCCCTCGTTCGCCTGTTTGTAACCCCTACTATAAACCAAGTGTCGGTAACACGAGCAGCAGCAGACTGCACGTAGGGACGTTCCGCCCGAACCACTATAAGGGTCTGTTTGGATTGCAGGTTTCTCGTAGGAACTTCAAAGGAATAGCATTCCTTTGTTTTTGCTGACGTCACTGTGCGTTTGGAATGGAGGATTACAACTTCTCTTTCCTGAGGAAAGGTTTTCTTCCCATCTCAAAACGCAGGAATCAGAGAATCCACTCTGATCTCTTGGTTTCTCTTCCTATCGCGAAGTCCGAGACAAAGCGCTGACCTACAGAGAGAAGCAGCAGCCAGCGCAAAGTAGATTCTTGTTCACGTGAGGTTAGGTGCTTTTAATACTTTCTTAAGTACCCATATTTGCCTAACATGTTACAATTCCTATGTTATAAATTCCTGTGTTCCAAACAGCCTAAATTTTCTGTTCCTGTGTTTTGAAATCCCGTAGTTTTTCACTTTTTATCATACCTTATTCCTGTGTTTTTTTCTGTTCCTGTGTTTTGGATTCCTTCGTTCCAAATGAGCCCTAAATCTTTATGTCCTCTGAGCACAGCCATCCAGGTCAGACGCGCAAACTAGAAATTTACTAGCCAGTGATTCGAAACACCGACAGTTGGCGCGCCAGGTAGGGGGCTTTTGTGCGTCTCGTCGTCCACAATAGGCCATGGATGGCTAGCCACAGCGTTAGCTGGGTCTCGGGCGCGCACGTGCATTTCGGGAGCCTGGACTTCATCGTCACCATGGAGGGAGAGCTGGCGCAGGCTCCTGCCCCCATCAAACTTCCTCACTCCACCGACCTCGACGCAACCGTCGAAGCCTTCGAGGAGCTGCAGCTACGCACACCGGAGGCCCGTGTCCCCGAAAGCGACCAGCTCCTCGGCTTTGATTACAAGAGGCTGGAGCGTCAACTCGATGCCTTCCTGGGACCCCGACTGTCCTAGGAGGACGTGCGCTGCCTCACCTTCTCCTTCGCCAACGTCATGACGCAGCTTGCCAGAGGGGAGCCGCTCTTCCTGGAATATCTCATCTGGGATGCCCAGACAACATTCCCGTTCGGTCTGCGTAATGTCGCGAGGACCATTGGTCACCTCGTGGTACAGCGCATGTGCCCGCCTCCCACAGATGATGAATTTGTGGGAATGGCCGATTACGTCATGGAGTCTTTCCACGACCTTCTCACAGGAGATTTAGAGTCGATCTCTGGCTCTGACTCTAGTAGGGGGAGCCATCACGCCTTGCGAGAATGTATTATGGCAGGTATCCCCGAAGGACGCATCGAAAGCATCCATGAGGGAGGGCTACCCCACCGAACGACTTCGACGATGAAGTCGAAGAAGATGCGGGGGCCCTTCCCCGATGCAGATAGAACAGCTAAGGGCGCGACCTCAAGAGCTCGCGGATGAGCGCCTCCAGCTGGAGTAGGAGCGCGTGGAGCTCGAACGCGAGATCAAGCATTGCGGGAATGGTGGCCGCGCACGCGCCATCGCCCCCGACATAAACTGGACGATCGTCAAGGACGACAGAGGCCTCCCGCACTTCGCCCGGGCTAGTCAGAACATAGTTGTCGTGGTGGCCATGCTCCAAAGGCTCCCAGAACCCACGACACCCAAAGACCATCAGGCCCACCGCGAGATCCGCACGCTGCTTGAGCGAGCAGTGGTGCAACGGGCGAAAAGCTCGTTGTCTCGGCGATGCGAGCTCGATGCCAGTCAGCGCGTGTCTTTGGGACAACATGGCCGGGACGTGTCCATCCACCAGGCGTCACACAACGATGGGGGACTTGCCATGGTCCCAGTGCATGAGCGTCTCGGCCTAAACCATGATGCACGCAACACCCTAGACGCCCTTAGGCGCGGAAGGGGCGACAAGAGAGAGGAGGCCGGCTGTGGTTATTATCCTCATCGTGGCAGATGCTACGATAGCGGTGAAGACTAGAGCCCGAGCCCCGACCTGCCAGGGCCCTAGGCTTTTGGCCGACACATCCACAATGCTGCTTTCCCACCGCGGTATCGACCATCGACCAACGTCCTGAAGTACTCCGGGGAGACGAACACCAGCTTGTGGCTCTACTGGCTTGCTTATCAAGCCGGTGGCATGGATAGTGATTGCTTCATTATATGCAACCTCCCCTTGTTGCTGGCCGATTCGGCATGAACATGGCTGGAGCACCTTCCGCCCAACCGGATTCAAAGTTGGGCGGACTTGAAGGAGATCTTTGTGGGAAACTTTTAGGGCACCTACATGGCCTTGGGAACCCCTAGGTTCTAAAAAAATGTTGATAGAAGTCCAGAGAGACTCTCCGCGAGTACATCCGACGCTTCTCCAGGCAATGCAATGAGTTGCCTGATGTCGCCGACGCCGACGTCATCAGAGCCTTCCTATCTAGGACCACCTGTGAGTCCCTGGTCCACAAGCTAGGACGTAAGGGCCCTCAAACCACCAAGGAGCTCCTCGACATCGTGATCAGCCATGCCTTAGGCGAGGAGGCGGTCGAAGCGATTTTTGATTGCTCCAAAGGCAAAGCGAGGCAGGACGAGAATGCCGCCGAGGGCCCCTCTAACCGTCCGAACAAGAAGAAGAACAAGCAGCAGCACGAGGGCTCGCTCGTGGCTGTTGTCGAGCAAAAAGGTGGCCGGGCGTCCACCGAGAATGCTCCCGACCACTTCGAGAAGCTGCTCGAGGGGCCATGCCCGAACCACGCCTTCCCTGTCAAGCATCTATACAAGGACTATGCCCTCATGAAGCGGTTCCTGTCCGGCGGCTCTGACAAGGGGAACCAGAGAAAGAAGCTAGAGCCAGCGCAGACAACGCCAAGGGGAAGGACGGTGACTTTCTGACCCCAAATGGTTGCCTCATGATCTTCGGTGGGACGGCGGCCTACGACTCCAAGCGCCACCAAAAGATCACACGCCATGAGGTCTAGATGGCCGAACCGGCCACGCCGTCTTTCCTCTGGTGGTCGGAGTCCGCCATCACCTTTGACCGATCCGACCACCCGGATAGCTTCCCACAGCCGGGGAGGTATCCGCTCGTGGTCAACCCGATCGTTAACACAAAGTGCCTCACCAAAGGTGCTGATGGATGGAGGCAGCAGCCTCAACATCCTGTACGCCGAGACACTCGATGCCATGAGTATCGACCGGTCACGC